TTTTTTTGTTGCAGTTTGGCCAGGGCCAGGTTTGAACCCACCACCCTTGGTATATGGGGCTGGCACCCTACCCACTAAGCCACAGGTGCCACCCGATTTTATTTATTTTATTATTGTTTGTTTGTTTAGAGACAAAGTCTCACTTTATTGCCCTTGGTAGAGCACCGTGGTATCATAGCTCACAGCAACCTCCAACTCCTGGGCTTAGGTAATTCTCTTGCCTCAGCCTCCCAAGTAGCTGGGACCACAGGTGCCCGCCACAACACCTGGCTATTTTTTGTTGCAGTTTGGCCAGGGCCGGGTTTGAACCTGCCATCCTTGGTATATGGGGCCGGCGCCCTACTCACTGAGGCACAGGCGCGCCCTAGGTAGAGTGCCATGGCATTACAGCTCACAGCAACCTCAAACTCTCAGGCTTAAGTGATTCTCTTGCCTCAGCATCCCAAGTAGCTGGGACTACAGACACCCGCCACATCTCCCAGCTGTTTTTTGTTGCAGATGTCATTGTTGTTTAGCAGGTCTGGGCCAGGCTTGAACCCACCAGCATCGGTGTGGTGTACGTAGCTGGTGTCTTACTCACTGAGCTACAGGACCTGAGCCTATTTTTTTTTTTAGTGACAGAGTCTCATTTTGTTGCCCTCAGTAGAGTGTTGTGGCGTCATAGCTCACGGCAACCTCCAGCTCTTGGGCTTAGGTGATTTTAAACATATCACATTTAGGGCGGCACCTGTGGCTCAGTGAGTAGGGAGCGTCAGCCCCATATACCTGAAGGTGGTGGGTTCAAACACCGCCCCAGCCAAACTGCAACAACAGCAACAACAAAATAGCCAGGTGTTGTGGCAGGTGTCTGTAGTCCCAGCTATTAGGGAGCTGAGGCAAGAGAATCACCTAAGCCAAGATCTGGAGGTTGCTGTGAGTTGTGATGCTATTGGGACTCTACTGAGGGTGACAAAGTGAGACTCTGCCTCAAAAAAAAAAAAAAAAGATATCACATTTAATATTGTTGGATTTTGGTGGATTTTACTAATCTTAAACTAACACATTACATTTGGGATTACTTTTTTTTTTTTGTAGAGACAGAGTTTCACTTTATCGCCCACTGCAGAGTGCTGTGATGTCACACAGCTCACAGGAACCTTAAACTCCTGGGCTTAGGTGATTCTCTTGCCTCAGCCTCCCAAGTAGCTGGGACTACAGGTGTCCACCACAACGCCCAGCTTTGTTATGTTGTTGCAATTTTGGCTGGGGCTGGGTTTGAACCTGCCCATTGAGCCACAGGCGCTGCCCTGTTTCTGTTTTTTTAAAACTCTAATTTCATGGCAGATTATGGAATTACTCTTTTTTTTTTGAGACAAGAGCCTCAAGCTATCCCCCTGGGTAGAGTACCATGGCATCACGCTCACAGTAACCTCCAACTCCTGGGCTCAAGCGAGTCTCCTGCCTCAGCCTCCCAAGTAGCTGGGACCACAGGCGCCTGCCACAGCGCCGGCCAGTTTTTGGTTGCAGCCATCATTGTTGTTTGGCGGGCCGGGCTGGGGATTCGAACCCTGCCACCTTAGGTGTATGTGGCTGGCGCCTTAGCCGATTGAGCCACAGGCACTGAGCCAGAATTACTCTTAACGCTAAATTACAGTTGGAAAGTCATAACACAATATTAGTGGAAATTTTCACATTTCAGGATTTTCATAAATTAAAATAAGCCTTTTCCCTAATTTGGAAGGGGTTAATGGATTCAGTGTGGGCTCTTTCTAAGAGAGGCAGGACAGAGGAAAACAAGAATGAGAGGAAACTTGCTTAGCCATTTTTTAAGGCACCTTTATTTAACTCTTCAAATAACAATGTCATGCTTTTGTCTACTCTATAGTATTCTCCTTCACACAAAGTTCTCATCTTCTTTTCTAAAAGGGAGACACAAACTCCCACTAGTCACTGTATTCAGCTGTATGTGTATGTGATGCTAATTCTGTTTCTATTGCAGCCACGGTCCTGGGTAGCTCCTAAAGACTATGAGGTTAATTACTTACCTACTTTCCTTATATCAAATAACTGAGGAAAAGAACCAAGGAAAGCAAAGCTGATTTATATGTGCAAATGCAAGCAGGGACAAAAGCATCTGTATGTACTCAGTCTCTACTACAGTTTATCAGAGGCTGTAATTGATGTTTGAACTTCCTTCTTTCACTAGCTGTTACACTGATACCTTTGCACTCAGCCAACATCTCAGCTGATCAGGGATCTGTATCTGATGAGGTGACCCAAAATTTTATTCCAGGAGGACCTGAGGCCTTAATTGTTGCTTTTTTTTTTAATTTTTATGAAACAGAATCTTGCTATGTCACCCTCGGTAGAGTGCTGTAGCGTCACAGCTCACAGCAATCTCAAACTCTTGGGCTTAAGCAATTCTCTTGTCTCAGCCTCCCAAGTAGCTGGAACTCCAGGCACCTGCCAGAACCCCTGGCTATATGTTTTTTTGTAGTTGTCATTGTTATTTGGCAAGTCTGGGCCGAGTTCGAATCTGCCAGCCCCAGTGTATGTGGGCTGATGCCCTGGCCACTAAGCTACAGGTGCCAAGCCACTTTTTTTTTTTGGAGACAGAGCCTCAAGCTGTCGCCCTGGGTAGAGTGCTGTGGCATCACAGCTCACAGCAACCTCCAACTCCTGGGCTCAAGTGATTCTCATGCCTTTGCTTCCCAAGTAGCTGGTGCCCAACCACAAGGCCCAGCTATTTTTTGGTTGCAACCATCATTGTTGTTTGGCAGGCCCAGGCTGGATTCAAACCCTCCAGCTCAGGTGTATGTGGCTGGTGCCTTAGCTGCTTGAACCACAGGCACTGAGCCAACTTTTTCTTTTTTTTTCATTGTTGAGGATTCACTGAGGGTACAGAGAACCAGGTTACACTGATTGCATTTGTTAGGTAATGTTCCTCTGATAACTGTGTCCCACCTCCAAGATGTGTATCACACATTGTGACCCCCCTACCCTCCTCCCTACTTCCTTCACTCCCCCATTCCCTGACCTCCTATCATGTACTAGGTCATCAATTGTCCTCATATCAGAATTGAGTACATTGGATTCTTGCTTCTCCATTCTGATGCTTTACTGAGAAGAATGTGTTTCAATTCCAACCAGGTTAATACAAAAGTGCAAAGTATCCATCTTTTTTAGTGGCTGAATAGTATTCCATGGTATACATATACTACAGCTTGTTAATCCATTCCTGGGTTGGTGGGCATTTAGGTTGTTCCCACATTTTGGTGATTGTAAATTGAGCTGCGATAAACAGTCTGGTGTATATGTCTTTATGATAAAATGATTATTTTTCTTCTGGGTAGATGCCCAGTAATGGGATTGCAGGATCAAATGGGAGGTCTAGTTTAAGTTCTTTAAGGATTCTCCAAACTTCCCTCCAAAAATGCATTAGTTTGCAGTCCCACCAGCAGTGTAAATGTGTTCCCTACTCTCCACATCCATGCCAGCATCTGCAGCTTTGAGAGTTTGTGATTTAGGACATTCTCACTGGGGTTAGGTGATCTCTTAGGGTAGTTTTGATTTGCATTTCTCTCATAATTAGGTATGATGAGCATTTTTTCATGTTTGTTAGCCATTCATCTATCTTTTTTAGAGCAGGTTCTATTCATCTCTTTTGCCCATTAATGTAAGCGATTGTTGGCTTTTTTCATGTTGATTAGAGCTCTGAAGATCCTAGTTATGAGGCTTTTGTCCAATTCATAATATGCAAATATCTTTTCCTATTCTGATTGTCTGTTTGCTTTTGTTGTTCTTTCCTTAGTTGTACAGAAGGTATTCAATTTAATTGGTCCCCATTTGTTTATTTTTGTTATTGTTGCAATTGACAGTGAACTCTTCTTCATAAAGCCTTTCCCCAGTCTGATAACTTAAAGTGTTTTCCCCACAGTTTCTTGGAGGATGTTTATTGTTTCATGCCTTAGATCTTGGATCTTTTATCTATCTTGAATCAATTTTAGTGAGTGGAGAAAGGTGCAGGTCCAGTTTCAGTCTTTTACATGTGATTATCTAGTTCTCTCAGTACCATTTATTGAATGGGGGATTCTTTCCCCCAGTGTGTGTTCTTGTTTAGTTTATCAAAGATGAGGTGGCTGTAAGATCAGGTTTAAGTGAATGTCTTGCCTCGGACCCCCAAGTAGCTGGGACTACAGGCACCTGCCACAACGATAGGCTATTTTTTTGTTGCAGTTGTCATTGTTGTTATCTGGCCCGGGCCGGGTTCGAACCCGCCAACCTCGGTGCATATGGCTGGCGCCTTAACCCCTGTGCTACAGGCGCCGAACCCGGATGGTAGCTTCGGTAGAGGCCGAAACAGGCTACCACGACTGGGCAAACCGTGCACAAAGTCCTGGACCCCTACCCCAGTCGTCCACAGGACTGACAGCGGACCAGAAAACGGATGCCTCGCGGGGAAAAGCGCAGACTCAATACGAAGACCGGTCCCGCACCGCCCCCAGTTTATCGTCCCGCCTCTTTGCGGCACAGCTCAGGCCGGTGCAAACCAGTTCAGTACCCTGACTGACGTTCCGCGTCACCCAATCGGCCGCAGGACCCCCTCTCCCTAGATCTAGATAGGAGGCCAAGACCGTCTAGCTGTCAGTATCCCGGGAGGCGGATCTGAACCAGACTGACTGCTTTCAGCCTACTAAAAAGGGCGGAAGTGCCGTGGCTGGTTCGCGACCAATGGCGGGGCGCAGGGGCGGGCCCTCGTTAGCTCCACCTTGGGCGGCTTGGTCCCCTATCTGCCCAGAGCCCGGGGGCCCTCTACCGGGCGGGAACGGCGGGACCTGGCTCCAGCTGGACCCTGCGCAGTGCGGCGCGGGCGGCAGGGGGTAGTGGTGACGTAATCTCCGCCAGCTGCCCCGCCCCGCCCCGCCCCGCCCCGCGCCGCCCTCAGCGAACCCGGAGAGCGAAGCGCGGGCGGCCTGTGGCGGCCGCAGCCCGGGGGCGGTGCCTGCCTCGCCGCCGCCTCCTCTCCGCGCAGCTCCATCTTTGTCCAGTCGCAGCGCTTTGTTCCCGTCGCCTGTGCTTTGGCCTTCAAGGCCGAGGAGCAGTCCCGGCGGCGAGCTGGCGTCGTCCTCGCCCCCCTCCCCGCCACCTCCCGTGCGCGGCCGGGCCTTGCCTCCCATGGTGTCTCGGCCCGAGCCAGAAGGCGAGGCCATGGACGCCGAGCTGGCGGTGGCGCCGCCGGGTTGCTCGCACCTAAGCAGCTTCAAGGTGGACAACTGGAAGCAGAACCTACGGGCCATCTACCAGTGCTTCGTGTGGAGCGGCACGGCCGAGGCCCGCAAGCGCAAGGTGCGACCCCGGGCTGGCCGGGCCGCTGAAACCACTTCTGCAACGCCGCGTGGCACGCGGGTGGTCCCGGGCCAGACCCTCGTGGGGGCCGGGAGGTGGGAAGGGACGGCTTGGGGACCTCCAGCAAACCCCCTTCGGGCTGCGCTCTGCGTCAGGGGAGGGGAGGGGCCTTTCTTACCCCCATTTCCATTCCCTTTTTTCCCTTTTCTCCCCCACTTTCTTCCTTTTCTCTTACCCCCTCCTCTCCGTCACTCTCTCCTCTCCCCCTCCCCGCTCCTCTCCCCTCCCCCTCCTCTCCCCTCTCTCCTCACCTTCTCTTCCCTCTCTCCTCACCTTCTCTTCCCCACCTCCTTTTCTCCCCCTCCTTCTCTCTCCCTCCTCCCCCCATCTTTCCCCTCCCCCACGCTCGCCCCTCCCCCACTTCTCACTTCTCTGCTTCCTCTCTCCCCCTTGCTTTGCCTCTCCTTATCCCCCTTTCTCCCTCCCCTACTCGCTTCTTTATCTCTTCTTTCCCCATTCCCCCCTTGCCGCCTCTCCAGTTTTCCCCTTTTTCCTCCTCCCTTTCCTTTCTACGGGGTGCAAGGGTGGGGAAGGAGCAGGGGCGGGTACGGAGTTGGGGCGGGTTTTGTGTGTGGGGTGCCGAGTGCCTACGTGGGCAGGGGACGATTTCCTTCCGCAGAGCTGCATGCGAGGTGTAGGACTGCGGAGAAAGGTCCCCAGCGTACCTGCGCGCGGCTCCAGAGAGGAGCCGTGCAGGGGCACCAGGTTTCGGGGGCAGTATGGGGCGCCCAGAAAAAAAATTAGTCAGAAAATGAAGTAAAGAGAGGAGGAAGACTGTGTGGCCCCTGTCGCGGTCCTGAGCATCCATTATCCTGGAGTGTCCGTCCATTCAGGCCGAGGCGGACGCCCGGGGACTGGAGAGCCTTGAGGTGTCACTGCAGCCCCGGAGGTTTGCGGGGACAGCTGTAGGCGAGGGCAACTAGCTTTTCCCGGATTCAGACGTGGCTGGGCGGGAGAGAGCCAGGACATTCGAGCATACGGGGAGTTAAAAGGAGAGATTCGGTTGATGGGAAAACGGGGCTTATTTTTCTGCATTATTAATAGCCTTTAACCAGGAATCACATTGATATAAGCAATTAGGCTTAATAATGATTTGGCAGTCTTTCGTTCTGTCTGAATAGAGTTTCGTTTTTAGTTTAGTATTTTTTTTTTTTTTTTTTTTGGGAGACAATCTCACCTTGCCATGGGGTCATAGCTCACAGCAACCTCAAACTGGAGGGATCCTCTTGCCTTAGCTTTCCAAGTAGCTGGAGCTAGGGGTGCCCACCACAATGCCCAGTGATTTTTTTTTTTTAAAAGACAGGGTTCTCACATTTGCTCAGACTGGTCTTGAACTCCTGAGCTCAAGGATGATAGGCATGAGGCATTGCAGAGTGCTGGGACACAGGCATGAGCTACTGCGCAAGGCCTATTCTACAATTTAACTCGATTTTGCAGTTTTGAGATTGGGAGTTGTTAGACACTTTCCACCTTGAGTATTTTACAGGGAAAACTAACATTGTAGATTGAGATTGAAGGGAA